AAGAAGTGCAATGGTTTTTGTATAAAATCTCTATAAAATCTAAAATCTCACTAAAACGCATTTTTAAGCTTTCAGTGCTAAAAAACTAAAATTAGTTAGACACCGTTTGAAAACATGGTTGCCATAGAAACGAAAAGTGACGGGACCAAATATTTGACACACCAAAATGTTCCTTGATAAATTTTGTCTAAAGTCACAACGTTTAGGGGGTTTATGACAAAAAAGAGTGAGGTTAAGATATACAAGAAACGTATCGGCCCGATGTATTGACAATACGCACTCAGTGCGTTCGTAGGGAAAAAAAATACCAATAGCTGATATTCTTTAGTAAGGTTCCGATTCCACGACTACGGAACAGGAACTAAGACACCATAAACTTCAAACATTTTCTAGAGCTTTACCCGCTTAATTACACCTCCTTCAATGCATACTCTAATGGACACGAGTTTTTGTTACACTGGAAACTTTTAGGTTAACATTGGATCTCTGACATACTTTGAAAATAAATTGATTGACCCATGCATGAGGGAGTATACTTTTCAATTTCCTTTTTATATATGCTGCAGTTGTTACTGTGTATAATATAGGCTGTCAGACTGGTAGTGTAGAGCGTCTAACGGTGTGCGAGCGTAACAGTCTTAGTATTGTGAGTACGTACCTTAGTAACGCTAACAAGATCGCCCGAAAAGCGAAAGATGGCACATGTTTAAGTAATCTGTAATTGTTGTTTCAAACAGTTTGTATCTGGACGTCCTTATCTTGTGAGCTCTTAAAATAATAATAATAATAATAATAAAAACATCAAAACAGGAAACACATATTTTGAAATACATACAGAAGGATAACAGCAGTGGTCCTGGCAAAGGTTTTTTTAGATGTAAAGGCTATCGTATTGTGTTGCAGCATCCTGACAATCAAATAGCAAAATACGTTAATGGAGATTTTTTTCACTTATCATTATTTTACGTATGTTTCCAGCCCGATAGCGGACTGCGTATCTATCTAAATATCCCTAGCTCTCAAAATGAGTAAAAAAGCTCTTTGTTAGTGACTTTTGATAAGAGTATTCTTTAAAATAATTCCCTTTTTTCATTTAATGAAAAGTTATAGGAAAAGCTATCTAGATTGAAGATATCAATAGTCCTCACAACAGCGCAGTGTTTTTAATAAACAGTTTATTTTTGTTACAAGGATGATACATCCAATTTCTGAATATCAAAGACATGTTAGTTAACATGATGTTCAGCTATCTTATATCCTAAAATTGTAAGTAGAGATACTTGCAGGTATCTGAGCCTTGGTGTACCACAGAACAGACACTTCGGCAAATACTGAATATTGTTATAAGACAGATCTCTACAAAGAGATAACAATCGTAAATTACTGATTCAACTTCTCTAAAAGCTAATTGCTGGTTTTCAGTGTCATGCCATCAAAAATAGAAATTGTAAACATTAAATGAATAATGTCAAGTATCCTAAATGTGATAGATGATTCACATATAAACAACCTCGCCAGGATTTCGGTTTCTACGGTGTTTCAAACCTGCGTTATTCAGACAAATGTTTCATCCGAACTTGTAGAGCTTTGCATCGAGGAGCCATGTTGGTGTACCTCTGATGGGCACCGATAGGTTACACAGGCTATATTGAGTTTAGTTTCCTCAATTTGCTTATGTGTACCTCGTTCCTTTTTTGATGCACTTAATATTTCGTCTAATCGTATCTACAACCAAATTCTCGATCGTGATTGGTTCTGCGCGCGCCTATTTGCCACCATAGTTAGTAGAGGAGACTGGTTATGAAAGTCGGCAATCTTCAAAGCGCGAAACAATAGGGCCGCTTCTGATGTTGAACGTGCCTGTCACGCGATCGCGACGGTGCACAAACCCAAACACACTTTCAAAGATGGCGGATGCAGGAGACGACTTATTCTTGTTCGGCGATGATTTTGAGGCAATTTTATACCTTCTTGACGAAGATGAAGCACTGCAGGAACAATTTTCAACTGTTGCTAGTGAGGTAAGTGCCAATTATTTGAATATTCACCCGCACTTAGTCTGTTTCTGGAGGAATTACGGAGCTGCACACGACTGTACTGTCAATGTACCCAATGTTGAAGTGAGCAAAAATGTCTTCCATGCTATTGCAAATTTGCACATAAGGGTGCGGTCATTTTCTTGTGCTATAGACATCATTCAGCGCTACAAAATCAATGCAAAGCAATCAAAGGGTAAAGCGCTCCGAAAGGAAATCATGAGGAGTCATGAACAAGAAACAGTTAGGCAAGAGTAATAAAAAACATTTTATTATCGTAGGTAAAACATGACATTATATAAAAAAGAAAAAAATGTTGTTGTTTATTATTTTTTATGAATATTCTAAAACACTTGTCAATCAACAAGAACATTTGAATTAAGAACTGTTCACATATACTCCAAAGCCGAATTTACCATGCCACAAAAATTCCTGTGCATGACATGTTTAGAGTCCTGGACCAGGTTGTTCAAAGTTGGGTTAAGATAACCCAGAATTAGTGCAGTAGAGAAATTATCTTCGGAAATGCCTTTGAACAAAAGAAAAAGAAACCTGGATTAAATTTAACCCCAGGTTAGTGCTAATCGGACTTCGAACAACTGGGCCCTCGAATCTGAAGGACAATAATTTTATGTACAATAATTAAGACAAGATACCTGGCTGTTAATCTTGGATACAATTTACCATTAAG